ATAGCCATTACACTAACTGCTGGTTCCCACTATCTGTATTTTTTTTAGTTTGTTATAGAGTGTATGCACTAGCTGGAGAGACAGAGATGAACACACACACACACACACACACACACACACACAGAAAGTGAGAAATCTTCCCCCTCCCATCCCCCCCACCCCCCGTGGGGACAGCCATGCTGCAATCCCTTCTCTAATTCTCCTCTGGAGATTTTGGGTGCACACACACACACACACAGCGTGTTTTCAAGCTCCGGATCCAGGATTTATGCCTTTGGCCATGTGGAATCCAGCCACCTTAACTACCATACCACCGACTAGCCCGACATGTGCATTTTAACAAGCTTCCCCAGGTGATCTGTGTGCACTGGCATTTGCACTGACCAACCTGTAAGGTGAATAAGGTTCACCTGTGGTCTGGCTCACCTCTGAGCTTGGCACTTTGGCTTTCCCTGAGCTCCTGAGCATATGTCCTTAGAGTTAACCCTCTATTACCTAAAGTGACTTAAGTGCTTCCTAGTCTCTGAATGCCAAAGGCCTTCCTGGGTTCAGACCACAAGGTTTGGACATACCGGTCACCGGCACATCCTTGCACCCCATCCCATGCCCAAGGCTTCCTGTGGCTGTGAGACCCAGGACTACCACCCTATTCATTCATGTAGGTTTCTCTGCCCTTTTTGTCTGTGTAGGCCTCGTTTATCTCTACTCAGATGGGAGCCTGCAGAACTGTGAGGTCCCAAATGCTAGCCATTAGCCGCATATGGCTATTAAGGACTTGACATACACCTAGTCTGCACAGAGATGTGCTGGAGGTGCAAACTATACCCCAGATGTTGAATGTGAAATAATACTTCATTCATCGTTTTAGGTTGATTACTTAGCTAAATGACAGTATTTTGGATATATAGGGTGAAATATTTTCTGAAAATCCATTTCACATGGTTTTAACAATGTGACCAGTAGCAAACTTAAGACTGCACCGTGCCTCACGTTCTCTCTCTGTTAGACAGTGATGTGCTGGGGAACATGCCTGTGGCCCCTCCACAGAGAGGAAACTCCCAGAGGACAGGCACTCTCCTGGCCCCGCACCAAGCTCAGTGGCCAGCCTCCTGCAGACCGGTGAGAATCACGCCTGGCTGCAGGAGTCTCTCCAGAGGTTCACTAAGGCTTCCCACTGCACAACTCCCTGAGTAATTGCACGGTTCTCGTTAAATCACTTGTTCTCATGGGAGACGTTGCATGTTTCCTGGCCTCAATTACCAAGTCAGCTGAGGAAGCTTTCTATCTTACAGATTTCCCCCCATAAGTAGCTCTAAGGATGTTAGCACTTGCTGGGTGCTATTTGTCAGTAGCCATTCTTATCCTTATACCACCCTGTGGGACAGTCATTAGCTCCAACTCACATAAGAGGAAATAAGGCTCAGAAAGGTTAATTTCCCCACAGTTAGAAATTAGAAGAGTGAAAAACCAATCTAAGACCATTTGACTTTCTTTCTATGGTACAACATGGCCTCCTAAACTTGACCCCTATGGGGCTAAAAGGGCCCACATATGAAATTACTCTCTTCCTTTCAGGAGCTTTGCTCTTTCTAAGCAGGAAGCCCAGCACAGAGAGCTGGAGAGAAGGCAGGCAGGCTGCTAGTCTCGCTTTGGGAAAGCGTAGTCTAGCTTGGCACAGTCACTAACTCATCCACGGCTCCTTCCAGGCCTGTGGTCTCTGAGGTGGCCCCAAACCACACAATAGCCTGAAGCTGGTCTCTGATGCAGAAACAAAAGGACACAAGGCCCACTCTCACTTATAGAGGCTGCGGCCTTCAGACCATGCTCTGTCTCCTATCTCTCAAGTAGTCTGGGCTTGAATCTCCTCAAATTAAAACAAAAGAAGGGGACTAGCAGGTGGTATGGTGGTTACGAGGCTGGACTCCCAGATGGTCGGCCATAAGGTTCAAGTCCCAAACTTGGCAGCTTGAAAATCATGCCAGGCACCTGTTATGTGAGTGCCTAAAATCCTAGGAGGAGAATGGGGGAGAAGGATTGTGGTGCGGTTGTCTCTCCTAGGGGGGGGTGATTTCTAAAATCCTAGGAGGAGAATGGGGGAGAAGAGATTGTGGTGTGGCCATCTCTCCCAGGAGGGTGATTTCTTACTTTCCTTCTCTCTTTCCCTTTTTTATATTCACCTTGTGGGAAAAACCTAAAAACAAACAAGAACAAAGGGAGGAGGCAAAGCTCACGGCTCCTCTCATTCCTCTAAAGCTCTCGTGCTTTATTTCCTTTCCTTACCCCTAGTCCCATGACCTGTTCTAAGTTGTTCTGCTTGGTTGAGACCACCAAGAAATTTATCTTCTTGGTTGGGTATTGAAAAATGGTTTCTGGGGGGCCAGTAGGTGGCATGGAGGTTAGGGAGTCTGGATCCTACATGGCCAACTCTACAGTTTGAGTCCTGGACCTGGCAACTTAAAAATCAATCCAGGTGCGTGGACGTGTGTGCCCAAAATTTCAAGAGGAGAATGGAGGGGAAAGAATTGTAGCATGGCCATCCCCTCAGAGGATCCCCTTTCTCTCTCCTTGTCTCTGTCTCTCTGGCCAGGTTGTGTATACCTCCCTATACTCCAAACTCAGTCTTCCCTTAACATGGATCATGGAAACTAAGGGCCAGCCCAGGCTGTAGACCTGAGACCACTGCATTCATACCTTTTATTCTGCAGAAACAGAGATCCAGAGGTTTAAAGTCACACATCTGACAGGCAAAAGCTGGGACCCAGGTACTCAGGTCCTCACTCACAACTCGGTGCTCTTTCCAGTTCCTGAACTCCACACGGAAAGCCAGAAAGGGAGACACGGTCATTTTTATTGGTAGCCCTCAACTCAAAGTTTGGGCATTGAAAAGTAGTTACCATGGGGGACACACAGCACCAGAATGGCAGAGGTGAGGGCCACACTGGGACTGACCAGGGGTCACTTTCCATCTGGACTGCTCCAGCCACAGGCATTTGAAGGTCATTAAAATGAGTGAGTCACTCAGCTAAAGAATTTAAGGAAAGCATTCAAACTATGCTTACTCTGCTCTGTGGAACAGCCTGTCTGCCCTTCCATGGTGCGGGGGAACAGGGAAAACAGGGTAGAGAGTGGCCATTGGTCAGGTGTGCCTCACCCCCTTCTGGAACTTTCTCTGGCTACCCCGATCCTCTATCCACAGTCTTCAAACCGTGTCTCCTGAAAACTACATGGGAGGACAGTCTTTTGAGTCGAGAAAAAGTGAGCCTGACTTCCTGGTTTATAAGGGAGGAAAACCCGGGAGGGTCAGGAAACCCTGTCTTACTTCTGAGAGGCTAACAGACCCTCATGTCTGCTCAGACTTCAGGTCTGAAGGCATCAGCCAGTAGCCCGAACTGAAAGCATTCTCACCAGCAGAGCGGCTTCAGTGTGCCAGGAGGTACACCAGGAGCAAAAAAAAAGTTTTACTGTGGTCAAACGTTTCTCTGGGAAGTTTTAAAGTTAACAGGAGTTTTTAAGTACAGGGTTTGGGGAGGGGGAGACAAATATGAATAATCAGTGTTAACACATCAGTGTGTTTATCTCCTGAGTATTTTTCTGAGTTATATAATTTTTAAAATAATAGGCATGTGTTGCTTCATAATGATGCTAATGGTGGGTGCTAATGATGATAAATGTTGTTCACTCATTCCCCAAATATTCAGTGTTTACCATGTGCCAGGAAGTATTCTAGATGCTGAGATTAGCAGAGAGCAGGATGAAGCACTTCTCCTCGTAGAGCTCCCACTTAGTGGCAGGGGATGGAGGAGCTAACACAGTATGAAAACGTCTGAGTGGGAGAGGATGGGAGTCATGGGGTTGATAAGAGGAGGACTCAGAAAAGGGTTCTCAGCCATCAGGTGGCATGGTTGCTAGAAAACTGAGTTGTGGTGCTAGAGGCCACATGGTCAACTATGGTTTGAGATCCCTGCCTCAGCTTGAAAACACGTAGGAGTGGGCGCTCCTGCCCAGGGCCCAGTGAGCTGGGGCTGTGGAAAGAGAATCCCGGCATGACGAGTCCCTGTCAGTGACGCTTCTCGTCCCCTCTCTTGTGTATACGTCATGAATAAAATGCACGAAAAAGAAAGAAAGTAAAGGACTCTCTAAGGAGCAGAGATCTGGACAGGAAGGACTGGGTCAGGGAAAGGGCTGTGGGAGACACTCTTCCTTCAGACAGGTGCTGTGGGTTGAACATCTCCCCAAATTCACGTGTTAGATTTTATTGTGATGGGATTAAGAGAGTGAAAACTTAATTCAAATATGGTGTTGGAAGGTGGGGCCTTTGGGGATAGAGTAGGATTAAGGTCATGGTGGGGGTTGTAATTGACTCCTGGTGGGTTTATAAGAAGAGGGAGTGAGACCCCAGCAGACACATGGACACAGGTGCATGGCACGGCACAGCTCCTGCCCTGCACCAGGATGGGATGCAGCCAGAGGACCCTCACCAGACAGGGTCCCTGGTCCTTCGCTGTCTTAAGCCATGAACAGAATAAACCTCTATCTTCATAAATTACCCAGACTTAGGTACATTCTGTTATTAGCATCACAATGGACTAGAGTAACAGGAAACTGCAAGGGTGAAGACCCTGAAACTTGCTCAAGGGAAAGCAGGTAAGGAGTGGTAAGAGGCTCTGGAGAGTCAGGCAGGGGCAGACTGGGCAGAGCTCTGCAATGTCCTAAAAGCAATCTGGTTTCAGTCTTAATGTGAGCAGAAGCTCTGGGGAGGCTTGAGCCGGAAAGTGAGGTGATATCTAGTTGGACAAACATTGTTTCCTAGAATGTCACTGGAACCCTTGTTTGCAGGGACCACGTCTCTCCCATTAGACTGGAAAGCTCTGAATACAGGGATGTGGTGTGTTTTTGTCTTATAAATTTCGCCATCTCCCAAGAGAGAGCTGAACGGGAGCTACAGGATTTGGGAGAAGGGACAGCTCAGCTGTCACAGGACTCTTGCTCCTGGGACTCACCTTCTACTGTCAACTCCACTGTCACCTGGCGGGCACCACTGCCATTGCTGGCTTCACAGGTATACTTTCCCTTGTCCTCCTCACAGACAGCATTGATCACAAGGCTGAAAGTCCCCCGCATACCACAATCCAGCAGGAAGCGGCCCCCGCTGGTGATGGGCTGTCCATTTCTGTGCCATGTCACTTGGGGCTCTGGGTAACCCCGGACCTTCAAGGAAAAGAAGAAAGGGTAAGAGCTCGTAGTTCATGAATTCACACTCTGTGCCAGGTGTGGTTCTTGACGCTTGACAAGTGTCCACTCATTGAGGCCTCGCAGAAGCCCCCATGCAGAGCCTCCTTTCATCCTCATTTCACAGATGAGGAAACCGAGGTACAGAGAGTCCTGGTAAGTTCCCACGGCCTTGAAGACAAGGAAGATCAGAGTCTGGCATCCTGGCTTTAGAGCCTGCAGGCAAATTACTCTCAAGCCTGGTTGCCTATGAGAATCACCAGGGGATCTTTGCCGAGGCATCACCTTAGATAATGAAATCAGAATCTGAGGGGGTGGGGACTGCTCACGGGCATTCCAGACCAGTGCTTCTTACACTAAGATGTCAATGAATCATTCAGGGATCTGGTAAAAACGCAGGTCGGAGTTGGGGCCTGAGATTCTGCAGTTGGGACAAACTTGCAATTAGTACTGGTCCCTGGAACTTGCCTTGCGTAGCGAAGTTCTGGATCTGCCCTGCCACGATGGTAGCCGCTAGCACAGGCAGCAGCGGAGCACCTGCAAGGTGCCTGGGGCGACTGAGCTCGCTGTGAGTGTACGGTACACACTGGGCTTTTACAAGAATGTTTATTCACTTATTTCCTTCATGAAGGTGAGTGAAACGTAGGCAGTCACCCGCAATGGGGTGCTCAGGCCGTGCTCTACCTCTACTCTCAGCCAGCACACATACCCAACATGCTCGGAGAGGGCTCAGGACGTGAACCCAGGACCTTTCCTACGCACGTCCAGTTGTACTACCACTACCCCGCCCACTTGACCCCGCATACTACGTGTTAAAAAATAATTATATATTTAATGTTATTAATTATTATTATTTTAATTTACTATAGAACACATGCACTTACAAGAGAAAAGGAGAGAGAGAGAGACAGAGAGAGAGAGGGCAAGTGAGAAAGCAAGCCACCAGGTCTGGAACTAGAACCACAGTCAGCCATGTGAGAGTCCAGTGCCTTAACCACCACACCACCTACTAGGTTTTGAAGTTCATACGAGAAGAAGACTGTAAAACACCTCAACAATTTAAAAATATTGATTCGATGTTTAAAAATAGTGTTTTTGATACATCAAGGTAAATTTTATTAAAATTAATCTGTTCTTGTCTTTTTTTTTTGAGAGGTTTTTGCTATAGAGCGTGTGCGCTCACCAGAAAGTCATGTGCTCGTCAGAAAGTCAGAGAGAGACAGAAAGCGAGAAATCACCCCTCCAGGAGGGATGGCCACGCTGCAACCCTTTCTCCTCCATTTTCCTCTTGGGATCTTGGGCACGCACGCACACACGTCGGGCATGAGTTTAAGCCACTGGGTCTGGAACTCGAACCACAGTCAACTACATGGGAGTCCAGCAACATAGCCATTATGCCCACTGCTGGTCCCCCGTTCTTGTCAGTTTTTAAAATATAATTTCTTATTTACATTTTATTGTATATCATTGTAGAGTATATGTATTTTTTTAAAAAATATTTACTTTATATTCATTCATTGAACATCATCACAGTATACAAAATGAGATTTCCCATCCAGAATATAGCACATATTGGCTTAATCAAGGATATTACCATACATGTTATCATCAACAAATAATTTTCCATTTCTTGTTTCTTATATATTTTTCTTCTTCTTCCTGTCTTTATTTGTGGCCACTAGAAAAGTTACAGCTATACAGTACTCAAGGCGGTAGTCCTATAGTGCGATGCTGCTCCGGAAGGCTCTGCCTTTCTGTAACAATAGTTAGCAGCTGATACTTGTTCGGAGTTAAGTGTTCACAGCACTTTGCTTAGTACTTAACTCATTTGAACCTCATAGGAACTCATTCAGAGAGAAGACAGCTCTCAAAAAAAGGAGGAAATGCAGAAATAAATTCTAAGAAAAAATTCGCATAGACACACACACACACACAAAACCCACTTAGAGTTTCAGAGAAAGAAAGCTCTTCAAGAGCCCTCAAACATCTCAAATTCAAAAGGCCCTTTACACTGAACTTATCCTTAGAGAGGTGGGGCTCAGACTGGCTCACCAATACAGTCTCTGGCCCAGAATTAGGGGGTGGGTGAGCTCTGGAAAATGCCCAAGAGACATCATAGAAGCCTGCAATGCTTGCATGTTTACAGGTGACACGTGTCATGCAGCCAGATAAAATCATGTCATTGTGGGGACAGTGGTGCAGCAGTAATGCTGCTGTGTGATGTGGACCCACGTGGGAAGTCCTAAGTGTGTGTGTGTCCTGCAGCCTCTGTGTACACGTCTGGTGCATGCACACTAGGCACAGGCATGCCCATGAGCTGGGCTGGCAGAGGGCGGGGGGGGGGCGATTGTGACGTGAGGGTGTCTCCCTCTCTCAGAAGAAATATTTAAATAAATATTTTAAAAAATCATATCATCCTGTGGCCCTGTCTCGGCACAGAGTTTCATGCTAAGGAATATCAGACAACAGCCACCTTGTTAAAACATTTTTTTTTCTCATTTGCTGAAAACAACAAAGGAAACCCTCTTCTACAGAAGGAAGCCCCTTGGGAGTGTGGGCACATAGTGAATTTGCAAATCACCATTATGTTCTCCTGCACCCCATTAGGCAGGGCTGGTCTACCCCAGGAGATGATCACGCAGCCTCCTGTCAGCTTCAGAAGGGAGTGCCAGGCACTGCAGCTGGGCGCAGATCAATCATTAACCACCCCACAGGCATCCTGGCATTCCATCAGCAAGTACGCTGGCCCCCTGCAGCAGGCCAGCTCGGTGGCCCATCAGGCCCTGAGGCAGCAATGATTAACTGGGGACACTGCAAGCATTTCAGATCTCAGGGACGCAATGCCCCCTCTCTTTTCTCCTCATTTTTTACACATACATACCCAAACTTAACTCTGAAATGCTGTGTTAAAAGAAATATCCAGGGATTTTAAGATATGCTGAAACTGGCATCACTTAGAAATCTGCAGTTTGTAAGTGATTTTTTTTTAAAGCACTTTGGATCTGAAGCAAAGGCAGGAATTTCTGTGACCTTGCTCAGTTCCAAGGTCTGAATGATTTGTAACTGCGATACTTTTCCTCCCAGTATGGGAAACATTTGTTCAACCACTATCTAATATTACCTAAAAATTACTCAACTTCAAGTAAACCCATTTTTTATCATTTATATCTTTTATTATTATTCATACATTAAATTGCTATACATCATTTAGATTGTGAAGAGACTTCACCCAGTATGACATACACCTCAGTCCAGCCCAGCTGAGACCACCACACACAACCTAGTCAACAGATAATAAACCTTTTCTGTGTCCCACAAGTGTCTTACCTCTCCATTTCCCCCCCACCTTTCCTATGCTCTTCCTCTCTCACGCTCTTTCCAGCTCTTTCCTTCCCACATTCTCTTTCCACTTTGTCTCTAGTGTCCATTACAATTTTGAATACTTTCATGTTTTCCAGTCGTTCAGTCTCTACCACAGAGTGCAGACAGTCAGTATATGTTAAGTGGAGACATTCAATGTCTCTCTTTCATAGCCTGACTTGCTTCACTCAGCAACAAATCTTCCACATTTGTCCAATTTCTATCAAATTCCATTTTTACCATCTGCCTGCTACCCTGGGCTCTGGGGGGGAAGGAAGAGAAGCCTTGGTTTACGTCTTTTGGAGACATGATGACAGCCCTGCCTTCCCTGGGTGCCTCATCTGCCGTCACTGGCCATCACTCAAGAAGTATAGCTGGGCTTTCTACAGTCAGAATCTTCATCAGGAGCACAGTAAAAGCCCACTGATACCTTAGTCTTCCAAGGACTGCCATGATCCAATCTTATTTGATCTTGCAACACTGTGAAGGAGGTGTCTTATCTGTGGACCCTTGCCAATATTCATGGCAGCTGGGAATGGGTTGGTGAAGGGGATTTGGGTGGGGCACCAACAGTGTTGGTGCCAGCATGAAAATCCCATTGTGTTGTTAGGCCCGTGTAGTTGAGAAAAGAGACCCAGAGAAGTGAATAGTTTGCTGGTAATCTCATGGTAGATTAAATGACAAACCAGAGGCTACAGCTTTGGTCTCCAAGATGAGGGACTGTCTCTATGCTTCATTGTAAAGTCATGTTTTTGGTGAGACAAGTTCCGTAGAACCCCAAGCACTGATACATGTCTATCCATAATAGACCCTAAATCTCTTGCAGAGTAATACAATATCTGCTTCCCACTTTTGGAAAATGTCAAATAATCCATAAAATATAGGGTCTGACTCAGCCTAGGTGACACAGTCCATAGTGTACTGGACTGCAGTGCTGGAAGCCACATAGCTGACCATGGGTTTGGATGCCCGTGTTGGCCTGAAAACATGCCAGGTGCAAATGTGGATACCCAAGATCCTAAGGAAGGGAAAGGGGGATCGTGGCAAAGGTGTGTGCACACATGTGCACAGGCTCTCTGTCACACACACACACACAAAAGATAAGCCGGTCTTGGGCGTTCCCTTGGGTTCATAGCAGGACAAGATTGGTGCCACGTGTGCACATGAACCACTTCTAGAAGAGCTGGTGGGGTAAAGAGGGGACAGTGTGAAAGCCCAGCCTAAGCCCTGTGCCTACTTGACCTCCTAGCCTGTTTGGGATGTAACTCCTCCTTTTATTGAAGAGAAAATTGGTCTTGATAGCTGAAGTTCCTTCCATCTCTGAAGTATTATGGTTTTAAATGGTGACCCACTTAGCTTCTTGGGGAAGATTCTTTCCTCTCCCCTCCACTCTCCTTTGGGTCAAACCCACAGCCTTAGTACCCTCTAATCCACCATATGGGAAAACCAAGTGACCACAAGGAAAAATGCTCAAGAACGTGAATAGGCAGCCCTGAGTTTTCACCATAATGAGCTTTTGGAAACAGCCCTATAGAAGGTCGTTCTAAGGAGAATCATATTTTTGCCACAGAAACCACATTTAATTGGAGGTTGTGTTCTTGAACAAAAGCCCGGTATCA